GATTTGCTTCCAGTGTTCATTGAGTCCTTTGGCTGGTGGTTGAACTGACAGGCGATCGGAAAATTCCGCTCCGAAGACTGATTAGCAACATTCGCTGACGTTATCGTAGGTTTCCGTTTTCGGTGGCTTTCTTGCGGTTCTTTGCTAGGCGTAAGGAGAATTTGGCTCGTAGCAAAGCATGGTCCGTATCCACAGATGTTGACCAATAAGAGCGGCAGTCTTGGATCGATCCCCTTCAGTGGTAACTGATAGTGATGTGGTCGATTTAGGTCCAGCGGTGTGTAGAGGTTGCGGTTCGCGTGTAAGGCGATGTCGTTTCTTGTGCGAGAAGTTCGTGCTTGACAGGAGCAGTGAGGATGTTGCGACTTCACCACAGATCTCTCAGGTTGGCCATTGCCAACCGAACTTTCTCTTAGCAAGCTGACTTATCATCTGTGATGCGTCCACCGGGTTTGGGCTACCCATGTGGATGAACAGAAAAACGGGAAGGTTGAGAATAGAATCCAACCGCACTTCGGAGATAGTAGGCATTTTTTATTTAGACAGTTATGTCTCACCCGCTGAACGCAATACGGATGAAGCGTTTCCTCGTATGCAGGCTGCTCAGTCGGCATTTGCCATCGAGAGACATCTGTGGTGACGCCGTGACATCCGGCTGTCTGTGAAGGGTCGAGTGTACGCTGCGGCAGTTCTGTTATGCGGCGCAGAAATTTGGCCATTAAGGAAAAAGGATAAAGACAGACTGTCGGTGTTTGAACACTGCTCTCTACGCAGCATTGCACGAATGTGGTGGGTAAACCGGACAAGCAGTGCTGAGGTCAGGCGCAGAGTTTTAGGTAACCGCGATCGTCCAATGGAACAAGCGGTCGACCTCCCTAAACTGCAATGGTGTTACGTATGTCACCAAATCTATTGCTACGATGCCTGATGTTTGTCGAGGTAAGCAGCGGATGGAGAAATGTCAGAGATGGTCAGACTAAGACTTGGCATTAGGGTCCGAAAACCCTAAACAGGCAACTCGGTTTCATATGCACCGTTAGGCTCTCTGTCTGGAGACCTCGAGATCGTGGTATTCGATGGTCAGAGAGTGATATAGCTGAGTGGCACTCGTGCCTGTGCTCGTTATGCCGTCATCTTCATTTTATGTGAATTTTCTATTTTCTCTCTAACTTCTACACATTTTATTTTTTTGTCCAAAGGGGTAACCAATAGCGGAGTATGAAAATGCATCGTTTTGTGTTGTAAAGACTGCACCGAAAGTTTGGTAACACTTGTATTACAGTGGTACGATATATCAGTTGTACTGTTTGCAGGTACAATAAATAATTGAGAATTATAAATTCACCATAGATTGGTTTGTAGTCTGAAATCGCCAATGGCAAAACCGTTATTTCGAGTTGGGCCACCTAGAATGACTTTCAGGTTTTGAAGATGCGGTTACAGTGGTATGTAAGATAAGAAAATGTTTAACGTGCTGCAAACCTCATTCATCTAATGCGCTTTTTGCCAAAGTGCACATAGATTTTAGTGAACTACGAAGTTCACCAAGGTCTATGTGGTCTAACGCTGAACGTTCCGAGTTCCGCTGTCTTTTCCGCGTGTCCTATACCTTGTATAGTGTAGTTGGTCGAAGGCCTCAGTCTGGTCAGAGTGGGTGTCTAGAGTTGTGACTGGTTACCGCTCCCTTACACCTCGCGAAATACTGCTATATGACCAAGCGCCTCAAGGAGCCTCTGTTTCGAATACCCTACTTGCTGCCTTCCCGCGGCGAAGGTGTTTTCCCACCCAAGTGGGAGAACGGTCAGCCAACATCCCGGGCTATGACCGGGTTGGTAAACCATTGGCAGTTCACCTAAGGGCATTTGGCCCAAAACCCTGAATCCAAACCAACCAAGAGGAGGCGTATGAACCACACCCACACTTTTCGGGTGTGGCATTGGCAACGGGCTCAATGGGACATCGAAGTGTATTGAGCACCTTGAACTTTTGACCCCGTCCAAAAGATGTATTTTCCAATGAACTGTTCACTGGCCCCTAATGGACTGCGGACTGAGCTCCATGCTGTTGTCTTGCAGGTCTGGCTTTCTAACCAAAGCTTCGCGCGGGGACTCAGGTTATCTCCCTTCCTCGGTCAGGGCAACCGAGTAGTTACATGTCCACACAACCTATAAACACATTGTACAAATTTTTCGTTCATATGTTGTGCCACATTTGCCAATTCTGGGTTACGTGTTGAAATAAAATAAATAATTGGTCGGAAAGCCAAGCATCTAAAGTGTGTCCATATTTGCATATTTCTCAAAAAACAAAATACAACCGGATGGGAAGGTAATTTTTGATAGGGCTTGAATCCCTTACGTGTCATTAAAAGTGCTTTTGTTGTCGCTGTAACAATCGGCTCAAGTGTGGACTGTGCACGGAAATGAAACGTAAGGGATAGTACGTCAAATGTAAAATGATGTTACACCCTAACTACCACATGACTACTCACGAGTACCTGTGATTGAAACGCAAAATTTAAAATGCGTT